AGATTATTTTGAGACACTATAAGAGGGATGAAGAGTCAGAGTTCAAATAATATTGTTTCAATAAACAAAGACCGGAGAGTTTTCTTTCTTAAAGAGTTCCCCTTTGATGTCACTTCCTGTTTCTTCACAGGCAAATATCTCAACAACTGTTCATTTTAGCAACATGAAATTTATTTAGCAAAATTTTATCAATGTTATCTTTGTAAAAATGCATTGAAAATGCATTCATATAAACATTTGACATCACGGGCACTTTAAACCTGTTTTTTTAATGACCTCAGACTGGATTTGTTTCCTTTTCACTCGCTCAGTTTTTATAATCCATGAAGTTTTCACTTTTTCTGCATGCATATGTTTTCCTTTCTTTTCCTAGTAAGAAAAAGGTACTTGTGCTTTTTTAAAAAATATATTTTGTGTTTATATATTTAAAAAAAGAGAGAAAATCAAACGTGCTGCTAGTTGTTCATCATATTCTTCCTTTTAGGCTTGGACACTTCCCCCAGACCCAAACACATCACTTTTTCTGACTCCACGTTTTTAGGATCCGATTTGAAATGATTAAAATAAACCAAACTTTTTGTGAATCATAAAAAAGAGCGTTTCATCATTCCCTGACTTGTGAGTGTGCATGTTTTAGAGACAAACAAAACAAGTTTTGAAAAAMACACCTTTGTCCTTTCGTGGAGCTGCTATGCAAATGTGTGAATCCAGTGAAACCGACGCGTCTCTTCTGTCAGAGGAAAACTCCAGGCAGCAGCAGAGTTTTGTCCCAACAAGTTGGATCAGTTCTGCCGGTTTGTTGTGAGSAAATGAGGAGCATGTGTGCGGAAGAGTGGCTCAGAGGAGGCACCGGTGCTGTCTGATGGCTGGACATCACACCGCAGCAGGGCAGCTTCTAAACGCTTGTCCCGTGGACCCCAGACCTGATGGAGGGGTCCGAGAGGAGCCGGAGAACCAGAACCTGTGGCCCAGGTGAGACAGAGGCATTTATCTGAGGGAAATGTTCAGTTTCTGTTCTGGTTTAGCTTTTAAACCAGCATGTCTCAGTTCTTGGCTGAAGTTCGCCTGAGCGCACTCAAAGGCGYAAATCTTTTTTGAAGAAGTCCAAACAGTCAGCGAGTAGGTGCTAAGAGAAGCTATAGTTTCTCATCTTTATGTTCTTCCTGTTTTCCATTAATTATTGGTGCAAAAAGCGACATTTGCTGCAAAATCAAGCACTAAAACCAAAACTACATACAGCGGGTAAAATAAGTATTGAACACGTCACCATTTTTCTCAGTAAATATATAGAGGTGCTAATGACATGAAAGTTTCACCAGATGTTGGTAACAACCCAAGTGATCCGTACATAAAAAGAAATCAAACCATAAATGTCCAGAAATGAAGTTATTTGTAATAATGTGGAATGGCACAGGGAAAAAGTATTGAACACATGAAGAA